CATTTGCATTGACCAGCAATAGCTAAGATCCAATTGTATAGGCTTTGTAACAATGGATTTTGGCATATGGATAAAGATAGGTGTCTGAACAAAGGGTAATTTGAGTAATTGCTAACAAAGGAGATGCCGTACCAAAATGTGTGAATATGAAGATGTGGATTTGGTTAAAACAAGAATGTCATAAGAAACAATTTGAAGGAATGCAGAATTAATTGAATGAGTCACGATATTAGGAAAATCTGTTTACAATAAGAAATTTATTTGATTATTTGTTTGTATGGTTGAAGCTTCGCGAATCGAAATTCGCGACATCGCTTTCGCTTAATAAATTATCAATTAGATGCCATTTTTTGCGTCATTTACGTTGTTTACTTTTTCATCCCATATTTAACATACAGAATATTTTGTTAGAATTCAAAATTTTTTTTATTAATTGTTTTTAACAAATAAATTAATCATAGTTTTCAATTGTTTTTTTCATAGTTGAAATTCGAATTAATGCATTCCAATAAATGTATTTCTTCATCGAAGCATCATTGTTTTTTTTTTTGTATTTCTTCATCGAAGCATCGTCGTACAAATCAGAACATTTGTATATAAACTTGACGAAAAATTAAAAATTAAATATTTTAATTTAAATCGTATTTTCTACAATAGCTACAAAACGTAATGCCCGGCAATTCCTGTGGATCTCACCATCTTGCAATACGAAAACACGTATGCCGGTGAGCAAAGTCCCTTTTTAAAATTTAATTTTTTTATTTTGAAAATATTTTTCAATTGTATATCAAAATTATTTGCTGTATCACTATAAATTATCTGATAAAACATCGTTTTCGGATTATCAAAATAAATAAAATTTCAGACTACGATATATATTACATCAACTTAATAGCGGTCAACTTTCGACGGATGATTTCAAGAAGAATCTCGAGTATGCAGCTTTGCTCTTGGAAACTGAATACACGGATGAAATCAGGTAATCGGATTCTTTTAATCATCCATAAGGTAAATATTACAAGATTACTATTACTAAACTTTGGTGAATTTGTGAGTGCTTATAATATGACCTTAGTTGGGAAGATGAGAAGTAGCGGAAGAGAATGATTATAGCATCATTATTAATGTCAGAGTTGGCATTTATCAGTTTTGGAGGTTCAGATTTTAAATTAGCTGACTGAAATAGTCATTTAACATTACATCAGTTTCAGAAAGTTATTCGTAATATTGCAACATGCAAGGACCTTAATCAACTTGAAGGGACGGATCTTTCCGGTTTGAGAGTTGCAACGACTGCAGAATAATAAAGTGTAGTATGACAAATTTCTGAAAGTTTCACCTTCCTATCTTCAACTTCGGAATAAAAGTTCGACGATTGGGCCTGAAGGCTTGAATCAGTGACTAGGGTTAAATTCAATGAAGTAGTTGTGCAAGAATTTTTTTGAGAAATAGTATATAATTAATCGTTTAAGCTCTAAAGTACCTGTTGTATTGAAAGCTATCAAGTTTCTCTTGAACTTTGAAATTTGGAAACTTTTTGAAGTAACATGATTGCTTTAATGTATTGAGGAAAATAATTGAACCGGGATTGCTCGCAAAGTCTTATCTTCACATTTACTTTCCCACGCTCAATTTAATCTAATTAAAAAGTAAAAGTAAGCCAAGTCAAAATATATGTTGGCTTTCAGACGCATTTGTGATGAAGAAGATGATTTGACAGATATTAAACCGGAAGCAGTCTCCGATGAAGTACGTGAATGGCTTACAGCAACATTTACAAAGCGATCAATTCATTCAAAACGTGAAAAACCGAAACTTAAATCGGTAGCTAATGCTATACTGACAGGAATTTTTTTTGACAAGTAAGCATTTCTCCTACATTACGAGCCTAACTTGTCATTAATCATTTATCTGAAAATTCATTCATTGTTTCCAGAATGTTTAGAAAATCACAAGTACTGCTTATTTCAACACCGCCAGAAATCGCTGCGCTGATGGAGGTTTTCGTTTTTTTTTTGAATTTATTATCGTTTTCATAAATTTAAGGACAAGAAGATTTTCTTAGCTGATGAATTTATTCATTATTAAATTAAAATTAAATTTAAGTGATAAATGGATTTACAATAATTTTATCAAATCAAATAAATATTGTTGACATTTACAGATAGTTTGCACTGAAGAATAGAAATACTCTGATATTTTCGCACAAAATTCATGAAAAATTATAGTTTTAAACTAAAAATAAAATAAGTAGAAGAAGCAAAAAATCTGCAGAATCTGAATAGTTGGTCATTTGATTGCTTCCGATTAAACGAAGTATCCGAGGGACATGCATTAAAGTATGTTGGCCTAGAATTATTCAATCGATATCGTTTCCTTGATCGTTACAAGGTTTCTCATTTTAATTTCAATAATTTTCAATTGTAAATTTTTGAGATGAAAAGCTTAAGAAAAATTATCTTCTAAATATATGAAAAGATATTATTACATTACTTTTGTAATGATAATTGTTACATCACACAGATCCCAGTGCAAAAACTCGAAAATTACATTGGAGCATTGGAAGTTGGATACAGTAAACACAACAATCCATACCATAACATTGTCCATGCTGCTGATGTAACTGCCTCATCACATTTCATGATATCGCAGACTGGTTTTGCTGTATGCTTTCTTTATTTATGATAGCATTTAAGATTTTAAGATTTTTAACCTGTATGATTTCAAAGTTCTACAGATAACATTTAGTACTTGAATCGTTTCGCAATCGACCAATTAAAATAAAAAAGAAAGATGAAATATTGTTGTGTTATGTGCATAACAGTAAATTTAAATAAGATGATTGAGATAAGTTACAGACAAGCTTGTCAGATCTTGACGTATTGGCAGCTATATTTGGTGCAATGATACATGATTATCAGCACACAGGTCACACAAACAATTTTCATATACAGGCTGGGTCTGTTTTATTTGTTCATACATTCTCTCATTTTGAATGTTTTGGAGTTTTACTGGGACCAATGGACTTTTTATTCACAATGTCAACTCAATTTTTACAAATGCATATAAAATGAACAGTCGATCTTTTTGACCTTTTAAGCTTTTCTAAATAATAAGGCTAATTTAAAATTAGAAAAGCTGCGAAAACCGAAAAATATAAAATCAAATAACTTTTTTAGAAGCTTCCAATTTTTCATCAGAAATCTGACAATTCACTCTTATTTAAGTAAGAATATGATTATATATGAGGAAAAGAATGATAAAATGAGCAAAAATAAAATTCTCAAAAGGGCCAGTTCAGCTGTCCTGAGGATTAGAATTGATCAGATGGCAGCAAAATTTCAGCTTTCCAACTTTTCTAAAAAAAAACCTGAAAATTTATTACTAGCCAGCGCCAAGAGACTATGAAGAATTAATTACCTAGATATGATAATGAAATACATGAACCCTACTTTGTGCATGATATATTAAAATGCTTAAAACAAAGGCCAGCTAATAAATTATCTGTAACGCATAATTGTTTGTATTTATTATTGAAATTTTAATATAGTGATTTTATCAAAAAAGAGATGAAAATTGAAATGAAATGATTTCCAAGATCGCACTATGCATTGCTATACAATGATCGAAATGTTCTGGAAAATCATCATGTTAGCGCATCTTTTCGCTTGTTGAAAGAAGACGACAAAAATATCTTAAAAAATTTAAGCAGAGAGGAATTCAGGTACTGCGCATTCTTATCTAAATGCATAACCTAAAAGAGATTGTTATTTATATGAAATTTCATTTCACTTAAATTTTTCAGAGAGTTACGTAATTTGTTGATCGAAATTGTCCTTGCAACAGATATGTCAAGTCATTTTGCGCAAATTAAAACCATGAAAGCGATGTTATCATCGCCTGAAGGGTGAGAGAAATTTATTAAAATCAATTTAGATAATCGACTGTTCTCTTAACCATATGATAGAATCAAATAAAATCAAAATTTAACCTCAATTACTGCTATATTGTAATATGAAATGATTCAGAAAAATGTGTATCATAAAAGTTGTATTTAAAATCTTTTTCTTTTAGCATTGATAAAATTAAAGCTATTTGCCTCATTGTGCATGCTTGTGATATATCGCATGCCTCAAAACCATGGGAATTGCATTCTCGATGGACTGAAGGTGTTCTTGAAGAATTTTTTCGGCAAGGTGATCTTGAAGCCAGCATGGGCCTGCCGTATTCACCTCTTTGTGACAGAAATACTGTACATGTTGCTGATTCACAAATTGGTTAATATTTGAAAAATTTGTCTTTCATAATTTATCTGATAATAAACAAAAACGAGGTTAATGAAATGAAATGCGAGATAATACAAAACAAATACTTTTCCCACATTTTTCAGGACGCTTAAGAGAAACTTCATAGAAATAAAAAGTAATCATTATTCTCAATGTAATCAACGAGCAATTCCTAATAATCTTTACTTCTATCAAAAAATTTCATCATTATGAAAATATTTTCTATGGAAAGTATTATTTATCAAATCTTACATTCAATGAAATGTTAAATTGACAGGATTTATTGATTTTATTGTTGAACCAACAATGATTATTTGTGGAGAGATGTTAACGAAGATAATTGAGCCATTGGTACCGTTACAATCATCAAATACTTTTTTGTCGGCTGAGAATTCCAGTTCATCATTACCAAATATTGATATCACCGAGGAATCAGAAACGTTTGTTCCATTCTCATCGATGATAAGATTTATTAAAGAAAAAATTATTGCAAAAATTTTTAACAAAAATTTCCAATTGCAGAAATTTCGAAGCGTAATTTCGAGAAAAATTCAAATCTTTTTAAATACAGAAAGGTGATTAATTTTTAATGATTGTTAAATTTAATGAAAATTGAATTTTTGACTGAATTGTTTTTATAGATTTTTTTCCAGAATTCAATGTATAACCAGAAATTTTCTAATTCATTTTTCTTTCCTACGCTCGAAATTTCTGCAAAAACATTTGAATATTCATAGAATATTGAATTGAATTACCCATTCGATTTTATTCTTAATTTATTTAAAAGATCAATGACTGACTTTTTTCTTCTTTCAGAGAAAATGTAAGGAATAATGAAACAAAGAATTCATTCCGTTTTTTCCCTTTAAATCAGGCTGGTAAATTAGAAATACCAACTCCGTGGATAGAATTCATGCGTGAGAATAAAGATCGATGGAAAAAGCAGGCTGCTAAAGGTATTTTATTAAAGTTTCATCATAAAATTGTGATATGAATATGCTGCAATGATATGATTGATCGATACGAACAGTAAATCTTTCTATTTCAGAGGAGGATGAGAAAAAGAAAAATAATGAAGCAATCAGCGCCAAATGATAAAATTCCATAATGGGAATTACGAGATTGATATTTGCATTTTGATTTCAAACTTTTCAAATTTCGTTTTGATTTGTGGGGCGAGGGGGAAGGAAAACTGTAAGCATTGAATCGTTTGCAGAAAATATCATCATAGTGGTGACATTTTTCATTTTCCGATAAGTTATTTGGTTGGTGAGCAAATAGAAACAAAATTAATTATAAGATTTACTACAAATACCTTTTATCGAGCACATATGTAAATTAATATAAAATGTTAAATTAAAAGATAAAATTTATTGGAATAAAATATTTTCCGATTTGTTCAATTAATGAAGGTAAAATTTTCATTTATTTCTAATAGCTAACAAAACTACAGTATGCAAAAGTATAAGTAATGCTAAAATACAAGCATAAAACTATTAAAATGATGCGGTATTATTATCAGTGATCCTTTTTTGTTTGTGTTATTGTTAAATTAATATGTAGTATTTCGATAAAAATATTTTCATTCATTCTAATTATCATCAAAAGAAGCGATAAATCATTAATTGTCATGTTACTGCTGTTAAAATGATAAAGCACTGATTGGTTGAAATGATAAGTATGTACAGATATCTGATCGGTGATATCATCCATTTCATGCTAATACAATGATATATGATACATATTACAAAATGAATCAATAAATTCTAAAAACTGGCATGCATCAAGTGAATCAATGAGTCACTATAATAAAGTAAAGTTAGAATAACTGCGTAAATACTTCCATCAGCCAGAGAGAGCAGTTGTGACATCAGAGGAAGCAGCAAAATTAGCCAAGTTTAACAAAGCCTATAAGGCTTAACATAACGTAAGATGTGATATTTGAGCAGTGTCTGATACTCTCAATTGCTCAGTTGATATTGCTAAATCTCATCTAATTCTCAGTTTTCGTTTTTTTCTCCGTTTCTTTACTTCTAATAAAATTTTAATGTTTTTAATTTCACTTCAAATTTGAACATTTTTTTTCGGAAATAACTAATAATTTGCTACTTAATAGTAAAGTTTATTGAAAAAAAATAGCAAGGTAATGTGTACTGGTTGTTTGCATCTGTTAACGATTTTTTTACATTCTTTCTTATGGAAAGTAAGTGCAACTGTGACATATTGAGGAACCACAATTAGCCATGTCTAATCAAGCCAAGTCTATATTAACACAAATTGCTAACACATCGCTGACTTATTCCTCCTTCTTTTCACATTTTCTTCTGGAATCTCTCTTTTTTTAAATTTCCATTGCTAAAATTGTCCACGTGAATTAGTCGTGTCATTCATTCCGTTCAATGTTAAATGCGGAGCGGAGGAAATTGAAACAAAATGTGGGAATGACTAGTTATCAAAAAATGTGAAAACGGCTCGCCTTCATTTCCCTTCAGTAAAACTGATTTTGCATAAAATTACTGTCCTTAGCAATGGTTGTCACTATCATTATCACTATTGCTATCAAAACTCTCATCAAATCCATTTAAAAATCATTTATTTGATTTTTTCAAAAATGAAAAGTTAATGAATAAGATTTACGAACTTTGTCAAAGAAAGGTTTCAAAATCCATCTACAGCTTGAAATATGTTTAGACTATAAAAGTATATATAACCTAAACGCACTTTTGAACTTTATATATAGTATGCTTGAAAAATTAAAATTTATTATAACACATTAAGTAATTAATTGATAAAGCTACGACTTATGTAGTTGAAAAATGAAATTATGACAGATGGAAAATATTTGGAAGAAGATAATCTTAAATGCCAATTTAATTTTTTTTCTTGTTTTTTCAAAATCTTAGCTAAATTAATTTAAAAAAGAAAAAATCGATTTATTAAGATAATGATAGTCCGTATTAAATTAATCATAAAATTGTTTAATTAACCGTAACACGATGTTTGCAGGAAATTTTCCTATTCATCATTGAATAATATCCGTACCTTTCCATTTCATCTTCTCGTAAATAAGATTGCTAGTGAATTTAATTATTTTGCTACCAGTAGAACAATTTAGCTTTCATCATTCAAATGGGGTAATCAAAATTTTTGACTGCTTTTATGTCAAAAGTTGAAATTACTTTAAGTTCCTAATGTTATCCAGAAAGGTTTGCTTGATTTATCGGAGATGAAATTTGGTAACATTAGAGAAATATGGGATTTTTCTCGAGTAATGTGAATGATTGTGTTAAGTTACAGCTAATAAAGATAGACTTTATAATTTTATGGATGGTAAAAAAATTCCCGAAATCATCCGAATTATTTGGTCCTTGACAGTCCTCAATGTGCAAGAATTGTTTGCCAACCATTGTTAGTTACCAACTTTGATCACAGTGAATGCACAATATATACATAACCGGTTTTGGAGTTCTTTTGTTTTCTGATACTTTTTAGAGCCTTTAAATTACATTTAATATATATGACTTTGTTATCAAAATAGGTGAGGTAATGTCCTATTGAAGATTTCATAGATAAAAGATTGGTAACAACATTGATAACATCCGTGAACTCATTGAGGAAAAAAACCTTTTCAACGAATTAAATTAGTTCGCATTCCTTTCTGCAACAAACGCAAATGGTGGTAATTCATTTTCAAATTTGCTGACTTAAGCAAACTTAATAATGGATTTTATACCTGTTGGACGTATTCTATTCAATTTCCGATGATTTCCATTAGAGGGGTTAAGAAGTAATATTTGTCATCTGAAACTAACATCTAATATTAAAACTTAGTATTTTCTCGTGTCAATAGCAATTTTTAGGCTAGTATTTTGATTATTTAATTTTTTCTTCTGAATATTTTTTTGAAAATAGGCAATTGCCTCAAAATAAAACAATCATTTTATTTCAACAAATTATTTCTCACTCACTCATTTATGAAAGTTCAAAATTTCCGTTACATGAATGCTTAAAATGCATACAGAACGTTAAAAATTATGATGATAAATAAGCAAGCAAAAATCGATTTAATCATGCTTTTTTGATTTCGAATTTACTAATTTTCACCAATGAATATTTTTGTGTATTATAAAATTATTTTTAATAAATAGATTGTTACATTATTTTAATTTATAATGGTTATAACGTGCAACTTTAACAGTTATCAAGTTCCTGAAGTATAACGAATCATCTAGAATACGACAGATAAAATAAGTAAATCTGATCATGACTAATTAATTTAAAAATTTTCTTTGTTTAAATCATTAATGCTATATACTGATTTTCTCTCTTTACAAATATACTAATCGAAATGAAAATGTTACGCGAAAGATTATTTTAGCAGATTTTAAAAGTATTCACATTACACATATCATTTTAATTGTCTAATGCGCACGTTTTGTTTAGCTTAACGAGGGCAATAGTCTAAGGTATTTCATTCAAAGTTCATTTTTTTTAATTGAATCACAAGTATGTTAAATAGGACTTAGAAGTACATTAAAGTATTTCAATATTAATTAATCATTTTATATTGGAGGTGATGCAAACGATGTCATATCAGGTCAATCCGGAATATGCCAAATTAACACAATTAGTGCCCGGTTTGTTCATATGTGGCGTTACTGAATTAAATCGATGTAATATTGAAAATAATGGAATAACAATGATCATTAATGCAACTAATGAAGTTAGTTATGCATTGAAAAATTTTTATGAATCCAAAAAAGCCATCTTTTAATTTTCTTGACTGATGATTTTTGGCTGTTGGTCGATGAGATGTTTATCAAAAAGTCATTAAAGTTATTTGGTCCTCTGTTTGCAATCCATAGCTGGATAGCGCTAATGTTTTTAGTACAGTATGTTATTATAACTAATTTACAAAAATATTCACGATCTATCTAAATCAACTTTTTTGAGCAAATCCGTTTTTTTTCTTTTGAATAATGAAATTTATTTAATACTATTACACAATATTTGAACTTTTTTAATGAAAAACACTCACCAGTTTTGCTGCATTCAACATTAATCAAGTAATCATTAAACTACTTATTCAAATATAAAAACAAAAATTTCATCTGTCAGACACTGATTCTGTTTATTTAAACAGCAAATCTATGATTTACACTTGTAGCCAATAAATGTAGAAAAGACTTGATTCTTTAAGTTGAAAATTCATTTCCAAAGATTTTATAAAATCTTTACGAATTTTATGCTCTTTACAGGTTCCCAATTTGAAAAAACTGGGCAACATATCCCGCATGAAATTATGGATCGATGATACACCAGAAGCTGATATTTATCATCATCTTGAAGCTGTTAGTGATCAGGTTAGATAATATGCACTTTTCTCTCTCTCTGTCTGTCTCTCTATTGTTCAAATTATTTTAGTAATAAATGAAATCGCAATTTTATTTTAATTTTTATTTTATTTTTAATTTAGATATCAAATATGTTTTAATTTAATTTCGAAAAGTTAAAAGAATTTTCTATTATCAATGGTTGTATGGAATTTCAATATATTTAATGATATTAGTTTGATATATTGCATACAAAAAAGAGAATACATGCCATTATACGTGCTTCGGTGAAATTTATAAATAAAAAAATTAAAAGTTCAAAAAGTTTTTCCATTCTCATATTGATTTCAGTATTAAAGTTTAATGGAAGTAATCGAATGAAACCAAACTTTCTATTATTGATGACAGCGATAATAGCATCCATTCTTTTTCCCAATATTGGTTTCCTCTTTAAGTGTAAATTGAATCGATTGTATAACACTAATTTTCTAAGATATGTTGCCTATCAATGGATAAAATTAATTTAAACAAAATTTGATTGAATAATATTACCAATAATAAATGAATAATAAAAAAAAAAGGTACGTTTTAAGGGAAAATATCTTAGACTAAGGGCCCAGCACTAATTTATTGGCCTTCTTTTACTATCACCATCATTCATTTTTTCCTGCTTTTATTCGAAACTGACTACGATGAAATCGTTTAGAATATAAAGAAGTAATTATTCATGCTAATCATATGCAATTTGAAAATATCCTTTCAACAAAGAACACAGCGATTTTTGCAGTCAGTGCTACCAATTTTGAAAAATTCCATTTGATACATTAGTATTTGAGTAAAAATATTGCTCGCACTATTTTCTGAACGATCTACCGTAGTAATTTAGTGATTTAACACTTCGAGTAACTCATTCTAAAAAAAGGAAAATGTTTGAAAAGTGAGGAATTGCAGATAGAAGCAATTATAGCAGATGGCGGGGCGGTGTTGGTTCACTGTGTTGCGGGCGTATCACGATCAGCGACAATTTGTCTTGCTTTTCTTACCAAATATCGATGTCAAACACTTCGTGATGCATATTTCTTGATGGTTTCCAAGAGGCCTTTAGTTAGACCTAATATTGGTTTCTGGTGGCAACTGATCCGATTTGAACAGGTAAGCCTGTTAGCTATTTGTATTTGTAAAATGCAATTCTGTTCTCGCTGAAAGATTAAAATAATTTTTTAAAAAAGTATAGCTTCAGAATAAAATATGAAAATATTTCCAATAAAATGTTATAATCACTAACGATTTTCTACAAAGTCTAGAATTTTTTCTTGGCTAGAATTTTCAATCATGATTTTTTAAAACAAAAAATTCATGACCATTAACTTTTTAAGAAGTGATCAAATGAAGAACGCGAAACTTTTTCATTTCAGATTTTTTTCGAGAAATTTAATCTCACATAAGTGCTGTTACTTTTTTTATTAAATAATTTTTCACAGGAAATTAAACATGCGCCAGCTTCAGTAGGAATGGTATATGATGAAACTCAAGCTGATCATTTGTTACCTGATGTCTACCTGGATCAGGCAACTCAACCCATGCAACCTTTATGGATAACAGTTTTAGTAGCTAGTGTTGTGCTTCTTTTCCTTAGTATGTTAGTTCATTTTTTCAATTTTTTAAGTTAAACTGAAAATTTCTTTTTTAAGCCTTACCACGTATCAGATTAGGATTATAAGGACTGCAATTTATAATCTACAATCGGTTAAAAATATATCCAATAATTTTTATTTTCAGCAGCATTCATTTATTTATTTGCTTTTTTTCTATTTGAAAAAAATGATAATTCCGGATATTGATGTTTTATTTTTGAAATACTTTTTGTCTTTTTAAAAATTGATAATTTCTTTTAAACATTTATATATCATTGAATTAATATATTAAGTGATAATTTTGTAAATTCCCGGGAAGCTTTATTTTATTTAAACTCTTCATTTTTTTGTTTTTTTACAGGATATATTGTTACGCCCTAAAAATTCGATCAGTCATGATAATTGCTCATTAAACTGTGTTTCGACAAACAATTCATCAAAATTGATCATTCCTTCCTATTCTTTGAACATTCACCGCAACAGATTTTTAATTAATTAAATTGAGAATTTTGTACTATTTTTTGGTGCTTCAAATTTGATTTAATTTGAAATAAGGAAAACTCGTCTAAACCAAGCAGAAAAATTACTAACTGATACTTCACACTATACAGTGAAATTTCACGTAAAAAATTAAAGATTATGTTGGGAATTTTTTTAGAGATTCAAATTATATCACAAAGTTGTCTCTATCCATAAGCAAAAAATATATGTAGGTCGTTTGAGTTAAGTGATTCAAATAAAGTTCATTGTTTTACTTTCATCTCAAAATTGTACAAATTGTTTGAAATGAATTTATTTTCATCTTTGCTATTTTATTTTCTAATCTTTACTACTATTATATGTTCTTGCCCATATCTTCTTCATTACCGTTATTTTTTTAATTACATGTAAAGGTTTCTCGAAAGTGGACAAATTGAATTGTTATTACAATCTCGAGAATCTATAATTTAATTTTACTATTATTACCAATTATTTTTATTACTGCTTTTGATATTTGGTGATAATTATTCACAATCATTATTTTTATATTGGTTTATCAACGGATAATCATCAATCATTCACATTGTCTTTATTGCAAATACTCAAACGAATGACCTCAGAAGATAATTTTAAAACCAAAAATGGTTGTTTGGGTTTTTTTTTTTGTTTCGATGTGAGAAGAATAACGAAATTTCGTTTTTTTTTTTTAATTAAAAAAATTGAGCAAGAGATGTCCCTATCGTCTGTAAATAAAATTAATATCCTTTGTCGTATGGAATTCAGCATTTTTAACAGATTCTAGAATTTTTTTGAATTTCATATTCTTAACGTTAAGATTAAAATATTGTGTAGAATGCTATTCCAATGTTTTGACATTAAAAAAAATGCAAAATAAATTTAAAAGAAATGATCATTTTCTCCACGTTTAAGTAAAATGGAGTTTTGTAATTCCTAAAATTTAAAAGTTATTCATGATAGCTAACTTTGATATACTGCTATTAAAGGTATTTAACTTGAAGAGTGTTTAATTAAAGAAAAAGGATCTGATCACTTCTCATCACAAAAACTTATTTATTCAGGTTTATTAATACTTGAATTAATTTCCTTTCAGGAAATAACTCAAGTATTAATAAACCTGAATAAATAATTTTTTTGCCAAGGTAAAAAAAACTTTTAACGTTTAACTTATTGTTGCTACACTATTTTATTTAAAATTACCGCAAATCATTAATTAATTGGTTTCATTAACCAAAGATTACACTATCAACTCGATTAAAAAAATTTGTTTGAATAATTTAGATGTTTCTGTTTTTTGCTGTTGATTCTTTTTAAAGTTCTGGAGGAATACGATCATCAGGGCTGTGCTAATCATCTCCATTACATTCTTGTAGAAGGTGAAAAAGGATCAATTCAAAAAATATGACTTCTTAAACTATACGATATTCAACAAATTTTATCCACAGTGTTATTTATCTGACCTGATTCTAAGTACTTCAATTACACGGAATTCTTGAATGTTTTAGTTATCTATACGGAATTCTCGACTATTTACTCGAGGACAAATATATGCCTAACAAGAATTTTTCTAAATAACAGAGAAACAAATATTAGTCACAATTCAATTATTTCATATTGCAAACAAAGCCATGCCGGTGACTAACAATCGCTGTTGTTAGGGACATCTTTTAAAAATAAATGAAAAGAAATCCTTCTCAAATCTTTCTTTCTCTCTTCCATCATCCCATTCACGTGATTTTCATCGACTCCCTCCAAGCAAACACAATGAACTTTGTTTCTTCCATTTGTTTTTTATTTCATCCTTGTCTTCTTAAATCAGGCATTCGCATTATTAATAGTGTTACTTTTCCATAATGTATTCGAATAATGATTGAATGGAAGAATTATTGCTTCACTTATCAAATTTTAAAATTCTTTCTCAAATACAGTGAGGAAAATTAATAAAACAAAGTTACATGCTTTCTCTTTCTTTTTCTTTTTCTTTTTCTCAGTATCAGTAAAATTCTTAGGAAGAGAAAATTGCAAATTTGTAAATAGATGAGAGAGGGGATCATCAGTTATTCACGTGAATTTATAGTGAAATACATTTGCTAATCTAATAAATAAATAAATGACTTCAACAGTGACTGAATTCTTCAAAGAAGATGGGAGTGTCTTCATCGTTCTATAAAATACGGAAATGATGCTACGAGTGTCAGGAACTGTTTTTTTGTTTGTTTTTTCCTCAAATTTCGATGTATGCATTTATGGGATAATTGCTTTTTTTGGATTGACCATTCATAAATGTCTAATTTTTTAAAATTCATTTCTTGAATAGTGCACTTTTTAAATGATCCTTTATGAATAACTTACGGAAGTTCCGGATTATGCATTCCTTTCTGTTCTTTATTTCACGAAATATATTTTCAGGAGTTATTCTTCTGTAATATGGTGATCGTAGGAACAAAAGAGTGCAGTATTATGGCTACCACATCATTCCAGACTAATCCGGTTCCGGAATATGATCATATTACTGGACTGGTTCCTCAGCTATACATTTGTGGTGCCAGCTCTTTGACTTTGGATAACATGAACAAATATAATATCTCACTGATCATAAATGCGACCATCGAGGTCTACTTTTGAGAAAATAATCTGTGATTTGCATTAAAATTTTTAGAAAAAACTTTCAAATTAAAAAAGTTTTTTTAGAAATTTCAAAAAATATTATTCTCAGTAAATCTAAAAAAATTTTCACATTTGATTGGTGAATAGAGCTTTTGTTATAGGTGCCCAGCATGCGGTCCCTCGGTTCCATACCGAGAATAAAGTTATGGTTGGATGACACACCGTCAACTAATATTTATCAGTATTTTGACATCATTAGCGATCAGGTAAACTTTTCATTCATTATGACGGTAAGATTTTAGAACTAATTAAATTGTTATTAATCACTTCAAAATGGATTCCAATCAGTTTAGAATTGTTTTTCAAGAATTCAGTTTACAGATTGAAGCAGTGATAGAAAGTGGTGGTAATGTATTGGTGCATTGTGTGGCCGGGATATCGCGGTCTGCTACTATTTGCCTTGCATTTCTCACTAAATTCCGTTGCAAATCACTCAGGGAGGCCTATCAATTAATGGCCGAAAAACGACCAGTTGTCAGACCTAATATCGGATTTTGGCGTCAGCTAATCATTTTTGAACGTGTATGCTACAAAACTGTCCCATTCAAAATTTTGAAAATTAATTACTGAAGAATTAATATTAAATTCATGCAATCTGAATTTATACAACTTTCGCTTCTCTTTCTTTTCAAAAAAAGAAAAAAAATCAAAAACTTTAAAAAAAAACCAAATTATTTTTTATTTTAAAGCAAGAAGTTGATGAATAAAAGCCTTTTATTTTGATTCATATTCAATTTTTATAGGAAGTAAAAAATGGTATTGCACCATCAGTGAAACTTGTTCGAAGCAGAGAAGATCCAGAAAGCATTCTTCCCGATGTCTATCTGCCAGTGAGTGATCAGCATTAAAAATTGCATTTTGCTTGCAATTTTTTTTACAATTTCAAAAAAAATTTAAATATATTTGGTTGTTTATTTTTGGTAATTACAGACAGCTATAGACTCACACGAAGGACGGCGATTTTTCAAAAATAAACTGAAGTTTCAATCGGTACTGGAAACAGTACCGGAAAACACTTAGTTGTTGTCTGTTTACTGTCTCATAACGTTATGCGTTTACGCAAATATTTACTTTTTTTTGCACATATCAAATTTGCATTATTAGGCAAAAATTGTTTGAAAAATCAAAGTTTATAATTCATTTCTGTTATCATATATCGTATTAATTCTACATAACCATTCAAAAATTTTTAGGTTAAAATTCTAATTTGAACTGAAAGTGAAAGTGACGCATAACAAATTCTGCAATTTCCTCGCTCATTTGTTTTTTAATTTTTATAAATTTGTGTGTAAATATTGCAATATAGTTTATTGATCCTGATACATACGAATTGTAGGACTTTGCAAATTGGTTAGTGAATTATTCGAGATTTTATAAACAAATTTTTTACACATGAAAATATGATTTCGTTAGAAAACCAGTTTTGTATTAAAAATTTTTATCTATACTTCTACGAATTTTTTCGCGGACTAAAATCAATAAATTTGAAGCAGTCATATTTATTAAAAATCATATTGCTCCTATTAATTTTTATCATTTTATTTACAAGTTTAAATTATTAAATTTTATTGGATGTTTGAATGATAAATAACGCTGATAAAATCATACATTGCAATGCCGAATAAAAAAAGTGGTATGAAATTCGAAAAGCTCTTGAAATAAGTATTGATTCCATTAAATTCACTGAAAATATCAAGGCGCATTTGTGATTTAATAATCATTATCGGAAGGTATTATAATTTTTATGTATGACACTCACACAAATTCACGCATGTTATCATCGCTAATTTTCAATAAATTATTCGTAAAATTTGGCATTAAATATAATCATTTGTGTGTTTCTTTACAAGGAAATACAATGAATTATACATTTCAGCAAGTAAAGAAAGGTTTTTTACTATAAATCTAAAAAAATTTTGAAAAATTCATTGTGAAGTTAAGTTAGTGTCAGCTTTTTGATATGTAATACTGTTGCAGTGAAAAGAAGTGGTAGGAAAAAATTTATTAAAAAATTGAAAGTATATGAAAGTAATAAAGTTAAAAAGATGAAAGACAATTTTCGGAAATATAAACAAAGACAAATATAACGAAAGCAAAGAAGATGAAGTAATGTAAATTTAAGAAAAAAAATTTCCTCATCGATTTTCATTGTTTTTTTGTCATTAAACTGATCTCTTTGTTCATTTTTAAGCAGAAATAACAATTTTTATTGTAAAGTATCCTTTTTGAAAAGTTACTGGAATTAATTAGAACTTAATTCCTATTGAATTTCTTAATATAAAAGGAGAATGAAGCCAAAGAATTTGACAGAACCATTATTTTTGATTTGCAACTGTTTGCAACGTGCTTGATTGACTTCGTTCATATGCAAATGTTATATAACTGATAAGCTTAAATTCTGTGAAAGATTAAAGTGAGTTGAGAAGTTGGTGATTTTTTATATTCAAAATGTTCCTGTTAATAAATTCTAAGTAAAAAATTTGCGGTTAAATTAGCTAACAAACAATAACTCAAAATTTCTAAACTTATTGATTTACATTTGAATGGTGTAAAAATATTCGGGTGTAATTACATTTCACTCAACAATAAATTCGACTACTATTCTTTTTTAAATTTTATAGATTTTGAAGATGAACAAGCAAAGAAAACTATACGAGTTTTTTTGGAATATAATATTTACAAAAACATAGTATAATTTGATTGATTTATGATCTATTTTATTTTCCATTCAATTTCTGTTTACAGTAATGAAAAACCGGTTGTTTTTAATTCGCAGTTTTGCATTTCAATCTGGAAGTCTCTTTGTGGCATGTTGTTGGAATAAAAAACATCAGTTTGTAGCTATAAAATTGCAAAAGTTGCGATTGATTAATTTGTCACTTTTCATCAACAACAATAGCGCCAGACACTTCTTGTGATAATGAATGAAATGGATGAATGTGTGTGTGTGTGTGTGTGTGTGTGTGTGTGAACAGTGGAAAGAAAAAAAAAAGTTTCAAATCATTTCACAGATTGTAAATCTGTTCTCAGTAGGATATCACGTGAATTTTAGCAAAAAATTTGAAATTGGATGGGAGAAAAAGATGATATATCAGTTGATCGATTGTTTAAATTGATAATATTTAGCGTTTATCCAATTAGAAATATAATTGATGAGAAGCGAATAGTTTGAGGGATAATTTTAATTCGTAAAGCAAAATATTAATCAATTTGAAAGCAAATTGAATGACAAAATAAAAACTCTAAAAAATTTTTTCTTTCTTTAAGACTTTTTAATTCACAGAAGATTTCGTCAATTTTGAAAGAATTTTTTAATAATTAAAACAACAAATCTTTCAATTTTTTTTCCAGTAAAGTCAACAAAAATTCACCCTCAGATATTTGTAGGCAAATGTTCGGTTTTTTCCATGCAAAATATGATAAGCAAGGAAATGATGAAATTCATTGTACAAAGGAAAATTATATCACATTTGAGGAATTTTTGGATTTTTTTGGATGATATAACTTTTGGTTTGATTAAATGTTAACAACATTCCGGAAAATTTTTTAAATTCTATCAAAAAAAAAATATTTTTCAAAGTCACGAGAAATTATTAACGAAACTGAAAAAACTATTGCTGCTGAATGCATATTTGTATTGTTGATTATTTGCAATGCTTGATTTTAGCAATAGGTCACATCAAATTTGCATTTGTTAAAAACATGCATGAAATGAAATTTTTTGACACAATATACTGATAAACAATGTCAATTTATTCTAATTCAAAAATTATGGACGAATTTAAAATAGCTGAAAAGGTATTGCAATAATTTTTAACATATACAAATTTCACAAACATTTATAAATCATAATAACGCACGTTGTCACCAACAAACGACAAATTTTCTACTATGTTTTGATAGACTGAAAGAGAAAAGCGCCGAAATGTCTCACAGCGCACTTAAAATTTTAAACATTACATATTAAATTTTAAACATTTTAAACATTACAAATTTGTTAGCCAATTTTGAGAAAAGAATTGAAAGTTCAAAATGATTTAGTCTCTGAAGAGCAGTTTTTAAAGTTGCTTGATTAAAGTATTACAAATGAGCAGAGAGATGAAATGGAAGATTATGAGCAACGACCTTCGTTTTAAAATTCATTGGTTAATCTTTCGGTATTGAGTGTGTTATATATTTGGTGATCATTTCAGAATATGAAAGATCGGAGTATATGATGGATGCATCAGCAAACATTTAATGTTATCGGTGAAAATTTTAGAAAAGTTAAATTTTCAATATTAAGGAAATTACAGTGTTTTAATCTATTAAATTATTAAAATATTGGAAATATACATATATATTTTTGAAACTGAATTTCCATTTGTCCACAATCGAATAAGAATTTGGGTAATAGAAACTGTTAATAGTCGGAAATTAATAATTTAAACAGATGAGAAATGAATAATGTTCAGCCATTATATTCAAGTGGTTGCAATTATTTCATGAGATGTAGATATAGCAGAAAAAGTTTTATGGAAGTTAATCGAATCGCCCGGTCAACCACAGTGCGTAAGTGGTCACTATTAATTTACTTGCAACAAAATTTATGAACTACTGATCAATTTACCGTATTGAATTTATTCTTAAATAAAACATAACAATCAGACATTATGATTGTCTCAATTTAAGTTAATATGATCAGTCTCTTGACATTTCGACTCTAAACAAATAGCTAACGAAAATTCATAAATGGCCGACTAATACGAAGATCGATCACTTTAGATATTAAATAACAATATTCGGCAAAAAAGTGCAGCAAGCGGTGAATGAACGATGGCGCAGTTGTCTCGATGGGTAGGATGAATCAGAGCTGTTTGTCAATCTTGCAATATCCCTCCATTACTGGTCGCATCCATCCATTTAGAATTGATGCACATCACTCACGTGAACATCATTGTTATTGAACAAATATCATTCCACTAGCACATGTCATTCACGTGAAACTCTATCGCTATAGCAGCTGACTGGCGAAGACGAAAGTATAAAATAACAATAACAATATGCGCTCCCGACCGCCAATGGCTTTTCTGCGTCTTTCATACATATTGCACATGTACCGCACTACATATATATATATGTATGTAATTGCTGTTCTGGTTGACATGGATGGGAAGGAGACAGAAAATTAAATAAATGTAAAAGTTCATAATTTTCTTAAAATTTAAATGGGATTTTTTTTCTTACGCTTATAAAATATTCTCATCATTTCATTGTGAATTTTCAGCAAAATTCTCTCTGAATATCAAAAATGTCACCGGTATCATTTAATGTAAATCCTGAATATGCACAAATTACGGAAATTGTCCGTGGCTTATTCATCTGTGGTGTGAGCTCATTAACGGCCGAGAATATAAAAAAATATGATATTTCGTTCATTGTTAATGCTACCAGAGAAGTTCGTTTACCCCATTTATTTTATTATATTCGTATATTTAATTTATTTTATTTGATATAATTTCAGATTAAAGTAAGAATTCAGATTATGCCAATCTTTTTTTAAGAAAATTTAGTTTTAGGTACCAAATGTGCAATCATTGGGTAATATTCCACGAGTGAAATTGTGGTTAGAAGATACCCCGCAAGCATCTATTTATCCACTACTCGATCAACAAGTTGATCAAGTAAAACATTTCCATGTAAAATTATTTTAATTGAACATTTTAGCAGATCATTTTTAATCATCGCTCTATCAGTGCTATAAATGATCAACCATATTCATCTCTCGTACTTTCTCCTACAATTAATTCTAAAATTTTAGGGTAAATTTTATTCAACTTTTCCTACTTCTATGATATGCAAGTTATAATAGTTTTTATTAGAGTTGTAAAAAAAAATGTATGGCGATATTATATATTTATGTGTTACATATTTGAAATTTGATGATAAAATGATGATAAGGATGGGAAGGATTTTTATTATTTTTCTTAAATGAGTGGGAAAGAATCATTGTTTTGGATTATTTCGGCGATAAGAAAATTGTTTACATCAAAAACGCTTTGGGTGTATGAAAATAAAATTAAGAAAGGAATGAGCAAATAGAAAGATAATTATCTGCTGGGAATGGAATTTTAACAGTTAAAAAAAATTCAAGTTTCTTTTCCGCTACAAAAACTTTATTGAAAAACGAAGAAAAATATGGCTGCGAGAAAACTGGATCTTTAAAAAAAGAATGAATTTCAATTGAAAAGAACAAACTTCACAAAACGATTTTACAGATTGAAGCAGTGATAGAAAGTGGTGGTAATGTATTGGTGCATTGTGTGGCCGGGATATCGCGGTCTGCTACTATTTGCCTTGCATTTCTCACTAAATTCCGTTGCAAATCACTCAGGGAGGCCTATCAATTAATGGCCGAAAAACGACCAGTTGTCAGACCTAATATCGGATTTTGGCGACAACTTATTGTATATGAACAGGTGAGCTAGAAATTATTTATAAATGACTCTATCATGCGATGGTTGCTATAAACATCACTTTTAAATTTACAAAATTTTTACAACTTTTTAGCGCTAAATTATGATGTATTTTTAAGGATGTGAAACAAAGCATAGGAACAGTTCAGTTGGTCAGAGATAAAACACATCTTGATCAAGTTATTCCCGACGTTTATTTGGATATTGAAATTGGAATCCAAAAATCATCATTTACAGTAAATTTTTGCATACATTGATAATAAATTTTCATTTTACAGTACCGTAACTAACTTCTCTAAAAATCAGATTGATAGCGTTTGTGGAATGTTTCGAATTCTTAACTATGATTAATTCAAAATAGATGCAACTTGCTATAAATGAATTTCATATTATTAAAAGAGGAAAATTTAAAAAATAGCATTTTTCTTTAATAAAAAATTAATTAAAAAAGAGAAAAACACTGCAAATTAGTATAAAAAAGAGATTATTTGTGAGCAGTATTAATAACAGTAATTGTTGTATAATCTGATTTAATGCATTGTATTCTCCAAATAGATCGCAGCAAAATATATGAATTGAATCAGACTTCTTCACATTATGATCTTTAACAGTAATTTTATTTGAATTTTAAATTTGCTAAATAGAAATATTTGAGAAATATTAGAAATATTTTTTACATTGAAACCCCCATTGACTATTACAGAGAGGCGGTGGAAATGGATACAATTATGCGGGACAAAATCTACGTAATTCAAGTGGGAAATTAAAATTTCAGCCAGTATTAGAACCGGTGCTCGAATGTGTCGAAGTTATCGCATAACTGTAATATTATTAACTATACTGCCGAGTTGTATAGAATGTTCTTTTTCGGAAACATTCCATCAGAGAATTAAAGTCCTTGTAAAAAATCTTGAAGATTGCTGAGTGATTATGGAAGCTTACTGTTTCATATTAAAACATTTTGCAAGCTTAAAACGAAACAATATTGTAATACTATTCTTTGTTCTTCAGTTATGATAATCTCAGTCCACTCTGTTGCATATCAATTGTTTTTTCTTTTTACATTTATCTGTCATTATCATCAGAATGGTGCTCGTGCTCGGTGCTCGAAACTGAAAGATAAGCGATATTTTTTTTCTCCACAAGAAAATTTTAAATTTTAAAAACAAATCTCTATTGATAACTGTGAAAATGAATTAAACGTAATAAGAAAGTTTAAATGCAACATTTAAAACAAAAAAAAAACGTATTGTTCTTGACAAAAAATGTATGTGACCAATACTGTGCACCATCTGTTGTACATTAATTGTTTTTCAATCTTTTTCAGTATTTTATATTCTTGCGCTATTAATGTAACTTTTTTTATTGAGAATTGTTTTCAAAAATTTTTGTGAAATTTTTGTAATCGTACACAAAGTGCCTGAAACAGGTAGCAAATGATTATTGCCAACTGTATTATAGCTTGTATATTATATATGCTTATCTGAATAAAGCTCATGTATGCATTATAAAAAATAAAGTCGAAATCAAATCGAGGAAAAGTTTCGTCCATCGATAAACGAGTGGATCGTTCACACTTCACTGATACGAGTAACTACCAGATTTGACTAATCAATTATGCGGAGGTTTCAAGTACTGGTACTATTCTCACACTGGAAAAGGTCATATTTTATTCAGAATGGTCATGATTTCATTTGGCTCGTATTTCAAGTAAGCTATGTCGATTTTCCGTTTAAGATATGTCTCCTGTTTTAATGACCAATGGTGTGATAACTCCTTGTTTTTTCAAAGTTCCTTAGATCTTTCCACATCTCGAAGAGATTGTCAGACTTTATAGAAATCTCGATCATTTGTTTGAAAAGAAGATGCAACCTGATAGAGAACATAGTCCAGCAGTTTAGAGTTTTATTTATTTTAGATGAATTTTTCGAAGAATATTTGAATTTCAAAGTTACTGCAAATTCATTTTATGTTATTTTTCACTGCTGAGTCTGAATAAAATAAATGAAGAACTTGAAAAAAATTTTTTTTTCAAATAAATTATAGGCTCTTCTGCCCCAACATGTACACAATGGTAACAGTGAAAAAATTATGATTAATAACTTTCACTTTGTTAAAATCGATGAAAAATAACTTTCACTTCCGTATCACTTTCAGACACTTAATCATTCTAATTAATTCTCCGTTGAAATCGATGAACTGTGCTTAATGACTATTAGTGATACGTGTGCTGGAAGAGATATTACAATATCGTCTAAATAAAATACCCACAATTTTTATTTCAAATTATCATCAATATTTTCAAAATAATGCAGTACTAATTACAAGTTGGAAAACAAACTAAAACATTAATAAGATTAAACAATTATTGATAATATTATGTTGCCAAAACTTACAATAAAAAACTAAAAGTTTGTCTAGCACTATCTCATGAAAGCACTACCACCAAATAATATAGAAGAGGAAAAGCTCACCAATAGGAAATTACTTATATTCAAATAGTTTGATAATTATTTCGATATTTCGGGACATCTCACATATATATGTAACTTGATTTATATATTTTTCTGGAAAGTTGATAAACTGCAGAAAATAAGATATCAGCTTACAAAATAAGTAAATCAAAACGAAATTCCAAAAAATTTTTCAAATCTTGAAAGTTAGGTTACATTATTACTGTAACTTTCGGTATTGCGTTGTTCCTTTATTCCGGACAAAATCTTACTCTAAACAATCAAAATATATCGACCAGTACTTAATTATGCCATCACAAGCTGTTCTCTGTTTTTTCAATTCAACGCTTGATCATTAATAACTGACCAGAGCGAAAACACTCTCATCGTATTATTGAATCTATAAATTTCATAACTTTTTAGCTAATGTAAGTCTTGTCTTTCTGATGCAGAATCTATACAGTCTAGTACAGTCAAAATAATTGCCAAATTTTTAATCAGCGCGTAGATTATTTCTTTATTTAGAATTTTCTATTAACTCAATGAAAATCAATTTACGTATAGTTATTTAATAATGAATTCGGAAATTTCAATTCATCTGAACCAAGAAGTGACCTTAGCAAATCTAGAAGTTTATATGCTTTAATGAAAACAGATCAACAAACATTTTCTTTCAACAATAACAATGAATACAAACAAGTAAAAAATAGCATATATTTTAATTAGATGTCTTCGACCATAGTTCATCGCTTATGTAATTGCTTAAATGCCTTCGGTTTTTTCCTGTAGCCTGCTCCGCTCAATTTCGATCTTACAAGTAGCTAAATATTTCTTCATAATTTTCAGTGACATTAACTTTCCATTAATATCGAATTCTAGATGAATAGAAAGATGCTTTCAATTTCCAGAAATGTGAATTTGACTGCTGAGTATGGAAGCAATCTTCGTAATTTTCGAACAAAAAATCTTTTTTTGTCTATTTTAGAATAATAAACAATCAAAAATATTTAGCAAACATTTTGAGATAGACGTATATCGCGTAGTTTTGCTCACTGATAATAATCAAAAACATCATTAAAAGCAAGAATTTAACTCAATAAAAAATAATAAATAATATATGGTCTCACCTTGGGTTTGTTTGATATTGGTAGATCGACGAAGGGAGGAGCCGAAAAACCGAACGATTTTGAAACGGCAATAAGATCCAATGTGTTAATGTCAAATATACTTTTTAAAGAATGTGAATCATATGCCCTTATATAACATTTATAAGCTTCCTGAAAATACAAACAATTTAAGGTACAACACTTGAAAAAGCCAATGTACTCTGAATGCCTAATAAAATAATTAAAAACTTAAACTTCCTCCTTATCTAATTGCAGCAAAATAAAGTGCTAAATGCTAGCCTTCGCTGATTTATTTAAATAATAATTTTGTTCAATAAGTTTTTCCAACTGCAGCTGTATATTTGCAATTTTGCTCCATGAAAATTCATATTCATTAAGAACAACTTTTGCATGCTTCAGGTAACGAAGAAAGCCAAGTTCTTCAGGACGCAATATTAGTAGTGCATGACCAGTACCGGTAACACCACGAGCTGTACGCCCCACACTGAAAAACGAATATACTGGCAAACAATGATTCAGTAAATCTTGAATATGCTATTGAAAACTGAGCTCTTATTGAATTCATAGAAAAAGGAGGTAGAAAAATTGACCTCAATTAAATCGTTCGTCTCAAGTTAAATCCTTTAAATTTCACGAGATCAAGGAAGAATAGTTCATGCACAACTTTTCTACATATCATATTTTTGATTCTGTAAACAGCAGAATGTATGAGATTTAAAAGATAAACCGATGTATATATTCTCGTGGCTCATCTGGTGGGTCATACTGTACAATCCAGTCAACTTGTGGTATATCAAGACCACGGGCAGCAACATCGGTACAAAGCAAAATGCCTGATTTCGCTTGGCAAAATGAAAAGAATGTGCACGTTCGTTTCTGCTGTTTTTGCTTGCCCTGTAAAAAAAGTGAATTATTGCTGAATTGTACAAAATTTTTAATTTATAAATATGATCATAAATGAAGATCAATGACTCATGAGTTTTTTTTTTGTATAGAAACTTCCTTTTACGTCATCAAAATAATAAATAACAAAATGACATTACATGTATACACTGCACGGAGATGTCGATATAATTTAGTAATTCGTTATGATACTTTACTGAATTACACGATGAAAAAAACACCATAACTTTCTTATCTCGATTCCTTTTCAAAAACGTAAAAAGCAGCAAAAATCGCTTTTCAGATGGGCAAACAACATAACCCTGCAAAAAACTTCATATCTCTTATAGAACCTGACAACGGCCACCAACTCCAGCCTAACATCTTTCTTGTGAATTTGATCTTGACATTATAGATGCAATGGTGACTGTCTGAATCACATCACATATTACCATGTTTTCAAACATAACATTTTTGAATCACATGACAGCCCGATATGCATCGAAAAATACAGTATTTTCACTTTAGAATAATATAAAGAAGTTTGAAACTAGCAACCTGTTGCAGACCTGAAACTGTTGCTAAATCATTTCCATTTTTTAGGTTCATTTCATTGATACCTATTCTTATAGGATCTGTATGGAGTGCAGCTTTGATGAGCTCTACAACCTGAATTTATTTATAATAATTAATAAGACCGGCAATTAAATTTGAAATGAGAAAATCCTATGATATAAACTACATATCTACAAAATTAAAGTAATGCAGACCTTCGGTGTTTGTGTAGCTGAAAAAAACATTGTTTGTCGTTTTTTTGGCAAAGTTCGCAGTATCTGCTGCATCTCGATTTCGAAACCAATATCCAGTATACGATCTGCTTCATCGATGATTAGACATTTCAAGTTTTTTACCATGAAGTCATCCGTATTCTGCATGTAAAATGACACTTCTATGTCATATGAAGAAAATGTATGACAACAAAATTGAAAAGTTGAAGGGCACTAATTAAATTAAATATCCAAAACGATATAAAAATAATAGGATTTTTTTATAATGATCATTTAGTAATTGTATTACCTGTAAATGATCAAGCAAACGACCAGGCGTTGCAACAAGGAAGCTAACACCTCTAGCTAATTTTTGTGCTTCTGCTTGTCGATTGGCACCACCCATTATTAAACCATGAGTTAAAGCTGGATGCTTCTCTAGAATCTCATTCAAAACTCCATAGGTCTGCATGGATAATTCCCTGGAAAGTATATTAAGGAAATTCAGCATTGAGAAAATACAATCTACTGAAAAAAGTTCCAGAGTTGTATAAAGAAAACCAATAAATACTAACAATTCTAAATTATACGAACTCATTTGATTGAACTGTACTTTAAAATCAAAATAAACCTTGTTGGAGAGATAACGATTACTCCTGTGCCATTACGTGCTTTCCATTCAAGTTTTACAAGTAACTCAATAGCTGGAATAAGAAATGCTAATGTTTTACCACTTCCAGTTTTGGCGGATGCTAATACATCACGGCCCTGCAAATACCGTTGGATAGAGAAAAATTATTGAAATTAGAGTTATTTCTGCAAATTTAGAAAATCTATTACCTCAATTGCTATATACACATAACTGCAACCAACAATTCTAATCGACGAAAACACAACTATATAACAGTGGAAACTACATAGTTAATCAAATGACATCTTAAACGTATGACATTACCTGTAATAAGGGTTCAATACATTTTACTTGTATTTCAGTCATTTTAATAAAGCCCATTTCAGCAATTGCGAGTAAAGTGGGCTTTGACAACATGTTTTCAAGTGATGCAAATGTGGTCGATGATAGATATGAAACCACGTCAGTAGATGAATTGCGTTCAGTTTCTGAATTTTCAACAGGTTGTGGTTCCTTACTCTGGAAATCTATGCAAACCTTCAAAATAATACGTGAAATTGAATCGAATTAAGCGACATTCAACTTGAATTAAACCTTGTTAAACTGTTACTACTAGAAATTTATAAGATGCAATGAAACAACTGCTGAGTTTGTAGAAAAACAGGAAACAAACTAACCGGTCTTCTTTCTACTGCTATTCCATTTTCACCAATTTTTGACATTTTTGGCTTTGATGCATTCTGAAGTTTCTTAAGCTTACGCTTGAAGACACGCTTCTCCACATTCATCATAATTCTTTCTGAAAATTTTATTAAATGTACATGCGTAAAATAAATTGAACAACGTACAGCGAATGATGTAAAAAAAATGAGCATATTTATACAAAAAATGAAATACAAAACATTTAAATAAATAATTGCCAAGAGTAGCTGAAAATAAGCAAATCAAAATATAAATATTCCAACTACCCAGTAGTTTCATCGCAATTTTTCAAGAAATATCACAATCATCGAATCAAAATTAGATATTGATCAGAAAACTTGATAAGCTATTATTTTCGTAATTAATAATATTCAACGAAAAATATAATGAATTCGCCTACAGCAGCACCTCTTAACTAAACTCACACTTTTGAAGAAACTTTCATTTCTTAAAAAAAAAAACATTTTCACTAACAGAGTTTACAACAAAAAATTAAAATTGAAGTGTGCTATTTGGATGCAGGCCGAGAAATTTACGAGACTGGCTGAATCAATCAGAACTTGCAAACTACAGCCGTATTTTTCTTAACTTCACGGCTTGAGCCTCGTTATTCGCACAGAATTTTATTAAAAATCCACAAATACTTCAAGATAAAGAATCATATATCGACAATAACATAAATATCAGTCCTATTCGATGATTCGTTAACCTGCATATTGGAATAAGTGATTGCTTTAATTTCGGTTCCTTGTGGATGTCTATTAAGATCGAATGATTCACCCCAACACCGTACTTGTACTTCGAACTTTTCACGATCGATTTTAATTACTCTTGCAATTCTACCAATGAAGAATGGTTCTGTTGAGAAAGCAAACAGTGCTTCATCTAGCAATCGGGCCATTAATGATACCATATCAATGCCACTGGCAAACAAATCAAATGAGTATTCCGCGGACACCGTTGAAATTTCAGTCATATAGGCATACAGAGAGATTAATGTCTGTTCCATGGCCTCTTCCAAAGTATTGCCCCAACCATGCAGCTGAATATCCGCAGTGTGATCAAGATATTCATATTTAACTACTGCCGTTACTGGTGCATCCACCATTTGACAGATCGAAAAATAAAAATCTATTTAATTGGATTTATTCGTGGTTACATTTAAAATCTTAAATACTTTGATAAATTATCTCCAACTTCTTCCACATACCCGATAAACAGAAAAAAGTAGTATCATTTTTAAATGAAATACCACACCTCTTCTTGAAACAGCTCAATTGAAACCAAAATCAGAAAAATGAAAGGCCAACCTCAAATATCAAGATCTTGTTTCCAGCAAAAAATATTTATATGCAAAGGATTGAGACGTATCAGTTTTCAAAGCAACGACAATATCAAGTGATTTATACGTCAAACGTGGCTATGTACAGTAGATGAGTTACTAGTAACGCAGACTAAGATGTAATCATTGATATTTACAAACTTCACACATATCAGGTAAAAATGAGTTAAGAAACTGATACAGAATGAAACAACATACAACATTAAACATTTGCAAAAGTATTAAAAAAACTGAATCCTGTGACTTTTAAAGACAAATATATAAAATAAAAATCAAAAGAATAATTAAATGCATTGAGGAAAAACAAAAATATAAGAGATAAAAAACTAAAACATGGTAAGAAATCTGAAATTATACTTAAAAGAACTAAAGTAATATCGTTCCATACGGGTACAAGGTTTTTGAAGCTGTTTCAACATATGTTTCCAAAACCACTGAAATCATAAAACGAAAGGTAGTAGAAGCAGCCATGAGGTAATGTAATAATAATTATATTAAGCTACAAAATATGCACACCGCATTTGATCATTAATCACATTAAAAGACAAAAATTACTGTATATCTACACCCCATAATTCTTCCGCTGACCGATTCTGAGCAGTATCAGCTCGGAATGCACGGCAAGACATAAAAAGAATACGTTTTAGAGATTTATTGTGGAAGAAGTATGCAAATGACCACATTACCAAGTCTTCACAATACGGATCTCCAGTGTATCCTGTTCGGTAACTGTAAGAACATTATTGCATCTATTACATGTGTCTAGTGCTCTACCGTTCTAATGCAAAGTTCTTTCCTCGTTGACAGATTTGTGAAATTTATTAAAATTCAATGCTTAAAAAATAATAAGTCTATTTACATCATTTTATCAAAAGCATGTCTAAACAAAGGACTCTGAAGAAGCATGTATTCAATTAATGACACTGCTCCACCTGAATACGGTCGTTCATGACTACTTCCAAAAGTCTGCAACACTAGTTTCGTTTAATAGGCATGAGTCACTTTATATCATATATTTTATAAGAAATACCTGTACAATTTACAATCACTAATTTTGATAACTTGATCGACTCTTTCCCACAGTACTCTTTTAATCTCATAATAATTTGCTACCGTAGCAGAAAGTTTTGAATCAACCAAACCGGCTAAAGTCTGTAAGTACGACTTCGTATATAACCACATAACAAAATTGAGTTTTTTTTTTCAGAAGTTCCCAAGCCAAGTTACAATTTTAACTTGGCTTGGGAACTTCTAAGACTAATTAAAAAATACATAAGAAAAATTTATATCTGTTTTTCAGTGCTCTTTTTCAAATAGAAATGAGATTAGAAGCAAAAAAATGTTAGCATTATCTATGCTTCGAAAGAAATTCATTTCTACAGTTTACTAGATAAACTATGATTTCAGCATTATCGTATGCAAACTAACTTCAAAATTAGGAAGAAGAGAGAATGCTTCGCTCTTTGTAGAAGAAAAATCATAATCTTGAAATGATGCGTTCATTACAGACCTCAATTCAAAAAGGGTTCGAGAGGAAATCGCATCTGCATATACCAAGCCATTCTGAAGAATGTATTAATAAAAACCAACTTAAAAACAAATAAATTGATAATCTATATCTGGAGGTAAACTAAAAATAATAATTTACTTACTTCCTCGATACTACTGTTTAAACTAGAACAACCAGGTTCTGAATAATGGCGCAAACGCGGATCCTGTGTCCATGAGAAAAGCCATGGTAATTTCTCTGGAGGTGAGAGCGGATGCGGGACATTACTGCCATTCTGCTGACTTTTCTTCCATTGTTTCTTGTCGGATGTTATCATTTTGCAAGAATATGCTTCCAGCCTACCAAATGTGTACTATATATCATAAAAATTAAATGCATCAACCACTTCATCCAATTAGAAACACTGAGATACAAGAGTTGCTTGCCAGCATTCTAACAACTTCGTTGCAGCAATATCCTTGGAAGCAGTATATATCTAAATATACTAATCCAGTAGCAGTACATGCACATAATATCAAGAAAAGCTTATCAAATTTGCAGCAATTTGAGCCATTTAATAAAAAATAAAGCATAACAGTTGATTGTTGTTATGTGGTAATATAAATTGCCAAATTTGAAAGAGAAATATGACGTAAAGAAACCGTACGACGAAAGAAATCTTTTTTTAAAAGAAGAAAACGAACGCCATCCCCTTGTCAGTTTGACTTGCTTAGCCTTTGGTAAATATAATTAATAACAAACCTCACATCAATGCAACAATCCTTTGCATGCTCTCCAAACGTGTATGACAATTGTTCAAGCTCCACAGTTTCTAACAACTTCATTGCTTTGGTCGTATAGTTGAGAACAGAATATATATCTAAATAAGCTAACATTATCATCGTTACGTGAACAATGTCTCGTTCACTAACAATACGATGTCTCCTAGCAGGATTAATATTAAGCAAAGTAAATAGTACATGAAACACTGTGTGAGCAAAGAGACGCCACATTGTTACTCCGAGTAACCAATCCTGATCAGGTGATCACAGCCGGCTAATGTCTGTTGGCGCTTGTGCTATGTGAGCTTTGAGAAGAGTAGCCAAAAAAGACACTTTGCTTTTGGAGAAATAGGAAGGGAGAGTAATTGCTGCGAATGAGTGTGAAGAAGAGAGAGAGTGAAAGCGAGCAGACAGCTTGGAAAGCACATTTTAGCGGGAGGCGGTTAATTTTGAATATGCTTGGGGAAAGGTGAGTTATACTCGGCATCGGAGTTAGGCCGGGATTTCGTAATAGGCCTTTCGGGGATTCTAAAGATGAAACTGTGAGAGAAGTCTGTTGGAAGTTTGACAGATTTAATTTCCTCATAGAGATGAAGATCCTTTATTCGCTATTTATCGGTAGTGATATTGGTGTGAAGTTTGAAGAGCTTTACAGATGTCTCTCAAAGTGTGTCCCTAACTCATTATCTTTATAGGTTCATATTCTCTGGCTAGACTGTTCGGACGAATTTAAGGCATTCTCGTAGTTATCAGTTTCGGGAGATTTGCATACCTTTCTAGATTTTCCTTGTATAGAAATATAGATATCAATCGGAATTGCTTAACATTAACCAGACCGAAGACCTAAGTCCGACTTTCATTTCCATTGAATGTACAGTTGAGTGATTTAGTTGACTTTTTATTATGATTACTTATTTAATAGAACGATTAAAACATTGCTTTGGTTCAAAATCACAACTTCTGTATTAAGAACATAATTATAAACCTAATAAAATGTATCCAACTATATTTCTGTAAATAGATCAAATGAACACATGGTAAAATATTTCCTAATGGTTGTAGTTATTTTGGTAATTTTTCCATTGGTAAGTCCGTAGTTTATAATAAAATCCGCAAGGTTTCAGCTGGTTTATAGCACAATGTCCTTATCTGGTGATCAAGACGACGACAAGAAAAACTATGTTGTAAGTTAACTTCTAAGTTTGGATGGATGGAATCTACTCATTTCATCTTGCTAAACTTCATGGCCCTGATCACTGCAACAAATCAGTAAAAAGTTTATAGCAAAATATCTGCTGCAGACTGCTGTATTCAGTTCTCTCATCATTGAAACTAATTTGGTTATAGAAAGAATTTTGTTAGGTTTCTTTAGTTCAGTAATTTGAATTTTGGATAATTTTACTCTTTCTTTCTGTATCTATCCTTACCTGGTGTTTAGAATGAATTAAAAAAGGTGTTAAAATTTTGGAAGAGGTTTAGCATTTTCAAACTTTGTTCTTTATCAAATGATAAATTGACAGGACAATAAAAATTTGGATAGAATCCAAACTTCGGTAGTTCTTGTCAATATTTATCATTTTAGAAAAGGCAAAGCGTTGACAGTCCGCTAGCGGCGATGTCTCCATCTGTCCGTCCGCAGCCTACAAAATTGGTTTGTTCATTTTACTATTGTTCAGATGTGGAATTACATATAATCTAAAAAGAAAGATTATAAATTGAACAGTAAGTGTTAGTATTCTTAGTTCTAATATTCTTTACCAGGATGGCGTAAAGTTTCTTTTCATTCAATCAATTTCTTTGTTCACTATTGCAGTTCCGTTTGTCAAAAACTCCCTTAGGACCTACAAATATCAATCAAGTTGATCCCAATATCGATGCTACTCTTCTAGAGCCGTATTCTGTCGAGGTTTGCTACGAAATCTTGTAACGACATCATGTTTTAGTTTTTTCATTTACCTTCAGGTAAAATTTGAGTTAATTTAAGGGTATATTACAGAAAGACAGAATTCCAGCAGTAATAAATTATTCGAATCCAAATATTGAACAGTCTTTAATGGGACAGACCTTGCAGTCCGAGGAAACTGTGGTTCACATTTTTTTTCGCGTTGCTACTTTTTCTAGCTATTTTCGAAAGCTAGTATCTATACTTGCTTTTTTTTGATTCTTTTTGTCCTGCTTATCGCAGTGATTTATTGTGATCCTAAAATATACATGTGGCATATTACCTTATTTTGAGATTTCTTTCTCATAAATAGAAATTGGTATTCAGCAAGAAACATTAGCTGAACGAAGCATTGAATCAGAGTGCGATGACGTTGCAAATGTTACCGCTGTGACATCATCGTCAGTAGATGCTGCACTGGTGAGGGATGTTTTAGATTCAGAAGTTTTGCTAGATACTCAAAGTCCAAATTTCATTTTTTTTCGATATTCTTTGCTAAGTTTCTTCATTTCTAAATTTCGTCTGCATCATTCTCTAGCATTTGAGGAGGAAAGGCAAAGTTTAAAATTCTCACTTTCATTTAGTTTGCAGTTAAGTAATTTTTTATGCAATATGCTTGTAATTTCTTTTTTAAACATATTCTAGAGTCCTGGAATGTCTAAGGATATGAAATTAGCAATAAAAGCATATTTGAAATCCACTTCGATGTATTCTACTAATTCATTGGAACCAAAAGTTGAACAGCTGAACACTGTTGACGTAAGATGAAATTAATTTCTGTAAGATTAATTATAAAATTGAATGTAAGTGCTTCCATCAATTGCAGTCATCAAAAATTCTTTTTATAATATAGCTGCCATTCTTTAGAATGTTGCAAAAGTTGAGAAGAGTGAAGATATCGAAGAATTGAACAACAGTGTTTCTACATGCGACTCGCAAGAAAGAGCCGTAGAGAACACTTCTAAGTATTCTGTCAAAGTAGCTCTATCTGTGCCAAGTCCAGAATTTTTTCCCCGGATGAGTGAGATCGATTCTTGCTGTGGAATTCCATGTAAGACAATAGAGACGAACGATGCCTCGTTTGCTGAAGTACGAGGTTCTCCAATTCTAAAAGTCGAAAACGCGGAAGCTGTCTCTTCAATTACACCGAAATACCCCGTTGGTGAGAGACTGAAATCTCCAGATATGCAAAAAGATCTAACACTGTCGGCACGCAAAAATAGGGTTTTTGCAAGTAGAAATTTGAAGTTGGATAATCTATCTTCACCGCGAGAGTTAGCGAACTACGCTGAAGAACGAGCACAAAACTATTCGTTTCTCATTAATGAAGCCTACTGCGAAACATCAATGTTTTGCGAAAATTGTTACTCTATGCGCGTCGAATTGGGACTTTTTTCGGATAAATTTGCGGCACTGGCAGCTACTATTGAAAGTCATGCTGCAGAAGGGAATATTACTTTTGTTGCCGAACTGGAAAATTTGTTAAGAGGAAAACAAGCAGAAATTGTAACACTGTCATCGAAGCTGAGAGATTTAACTCAGGCAAATGTAAGATTAACTTTTTAAATATTTGTTTTTGAGAACTGTTGCTGATTTTCAACTGTCAAAATCATGTTGTTATGATTGGAGATTTTTTTGTAGGATCAGCTAAGCAAACAAAAAGAAATCGCCGAAAAAGATATGGAAGATTACAAATTTTTCTTCGAGAATGAAATGAAAAAGAAATCAAAAGAAATGGGCTTACTGCGGAGCAAGGTCAAAACTTTTTGCTACATCTTCTTTAAATTTTATAGAATAATTTAAATGATTCTTACGTAAAAATTTGTATTTCAAAAAAATGCATCTTAACATTATGTGGCGTAAACCAATATGTATCGAACATGTTTTATAGTTGTACGAAACTGAAAATCTGATAGATGAATTGAAACAAGCGAGACCAAAACAGTCTTCTGACGAAGACACTTCAAAAGCTGAGGTTAATTTGATGCATTCTCAGTTGAGATCAAACTTAATTGATTTTTTATCATAAATTTATTAATTCATTTGAGTTTTTGAACTTTTGAAGAACCTTGTACTTTAGAATTAGTCCTTCTATACCTTAATTATACCAACATCTTATATCCTGCATTAAGGGATGTCAAATGGAAATCCGGATCAAAATTATGGAGCAACAGCTCGATATGGCACATTCTTTGCATCATAAAGCTGAACAAAGAATAAAGGAACTTGAAAGTGAGCTACAAAGGGTTGCAGAAGAGAAAAATCAGTTCTCACTAAAAATTCAAGAATCTCTAATCGATTTGGAAAATAAGAATAATCCGATAATATCGGATGAAAGCAAGCACGTTTCAATTATATCCCTGTTGGAAGCTAAGGTTGCAGAACTTGGAAATAAAGTTGATGAGGCTCTTCGTGAAAAAGAAAATGAATCCGTGGAGCAAAAATCATATTTAATTGAAAAATTGACATCGCTAGTGGAGAAAATTAAGACTGATGTGAAAAACAATGTGTTCGCCGGCGAATGGGAAGCAGATGATATAGAAATTTCTGTTACTTATTTTGAAAAAGCTGTAGACATTATTTGTCAAGATGTTCCTCAATTTGAAACATTGGTCGAAATAGTAGCTCTACATGAAAAACTGGCTAGAAATGAGTTCAAACAGGTATTTTGTAACATATATAGACAGTAAAATCAAGATTTTAACTTTGAGGAAATCATTATAATTTTTATTTTGCATCAAAAATTTTCAGTTAGAAGCAACAATAGAAGAAGTAGTGAAGGAAAAAAAGAAATGGGAAATATTATTTACGAATGAAAAGTCGAGATTTGATGGTTTGCAAGAAATGATACTGACTCAGTTTTGTGAGAACAAAAATTGTTTCTCAAATTTATTGCAGGTTAATTTTTTTTCTAATTTTGGAATTTCTATGCTTTAGAGCTTTTTAAAACCTCATACAAATTTTGGTCTGTTCGTTCTAGGATTTCCAAAGCAAGTGGGCAGATACATTGTATTCTATGACAGAGCTTGCCAGATCAAAATCTGAAGAAAATCGAAATTGTGCCATGCTGGAAATGCTGCATCATATAGCAGATCTTCAGGAGGTAAACTTGAATGTGAATGTCTTTTTGTTTTAATAGTACATATATCATGATATTATGTTTATGCTGAATTTCAGAAATTGAATAAAAAATGGTTGATGGATTCGAGTGAGTTGCAGAAATACAACGCTTATCTGAAAGAACAGCATTTGATTGTAGCCTCATTTCAAACAGAAATGCAAGAAATGAGGAATAAAATTGAAATGCTGCATGGGTCTATAGAAAAAGACTTTAAAAATTCGAGTGCATTACTGGACAGCTTCCAAGGTGGAGAAGCTAAGCACAAAAGCTTAAGGGATTCTATCAAAAAGCAACTGGGACATTATAAAAAAGAAAGAGATATTTTTAAGGAAATATGCGAGCATAGCGAAGATGTGATACAGGTTTGTTTCTTCGAGAAACCTTCTTTCATATAATGTCGCATTATTTTTATTATTTATTTCGTTAATAACTATCTGTTTTGCTCTTAAGTCAAGTTCTTTGATTCTAGGAACTAAGAATGACGGTTGAACATTTGCAAAAAGTTGAGGAGGATATGCGATCTCAAAACGCAGTTTTGTGTAAGAAGTTGGATTTCGGAAGTGAAAGTTTTGCTGATATGACTGAAAATTTGACAAAGGGAAAAGATAAATTGGAAGACGAAAATGCAACACTCAGAAATATGGTTTCTAGACTAACAAAAGAAAACACCAATTTAAAGGAGGTAATGCTTAAGATGTAAATCCACATATAGAATATATAACCTATTCAGAAAAAATTACGTGTCACCACTGTATTAATTTTAAGCGCTAGCTCCAAGCTTTTGATCACCTCACCAAGGTGTGGAAATTGGGTTGCAGTCCTATCTTGTGTTGTTCCAAACGTAAAACATAAATAGAGTAATATATCACACTACACCCTAATTTAGTCACACCATCGTATAATGCTGGCAATAAATATTTTCCTGTAACATTTTCAAGCTAGAATTTATTTTCGGTTCCTTTAAAAGCTTTTTACAGATGGAGAAAATGTTGACTGAACAAAATAAAAAAGCCGAAGAGCTGCAACATAGATTAAACCTTCTACAAAAGGAAAACGAACGATTAGGAAAAGCCTGCGATGATGCGGATGAAGAAGTCAGCGATCTTAAACAACAGATATTTGAATTGTTACGTATAAATGCTAGACTTCAAGCTGAAATGGTTTGTTTTAGCAATAAAAAAAAATACAAACTCTTTTTCTCCCTGTCTTCTGTTTTGCCCACTTTTCTCTGCTTTGTACACCAGAAATATGTAAGTCCTAAGATACTTGATATGATGTTAGCATTGCTGAAGCATTGGTAGTTCAAACTTTTAAAAAACCAAATCTCATCTTGAAATTTAGGTAGCAGTAAATGTCCTATCCTTAAAATTCATTGTGAACATAGATATTATTTCGATCTAAATTTCTTCACTGAACTAGATAAATCACATTGTTGCAGCAGCAACATTGTTCTAGTTGTATCTGAACAGTTTCTGCATTCGTGTTCATCACTTTTAACATTTAAGCTTTCTTTTCAGAGTTCACTTTCATTATTTTGTTTTTCTAATAATTCTAATGCATAATTACTATATTTAGCATGGAGAAAGTGAGGAAGCTGTAAATCGTAGAATGGGTTATATTGAACCGCCGGCAATTCGACCGACAATTCATCCATCGGCTCATAAGATTACATTAGGAATGAATTCGCCAAATGGAAAAGTAACGGATGTAACGAAAAGTTCTCAGAAATGTTGATTTTTACATGATTTCTTTTTTCATTAGCTGTATGAATGAACATCATTAATTCAATAACGATGTTGAAATCATGCCATTTCATTTCTATAAACCAGAAGTATGGATTTCATGTGGTATAGATCTGCATTTGATATTTTGCAAACCATTATGAAATATTGAAATAACCGATTTGCAGCAAAATCGGATGTGAAGATTGAGAACGTGCTATTAGAAAAAGCAGAAGTAAAAGAAAGAAATGAGATACAGAGATTAGCGGAAAAAGAAAACGTATTATCAGAAGATGCAAATGCTTCAGCGAAGAAAATACCTGCTAAAGAATTATCAAAATCGAAGGTGATTCGAGACCAATCATGCCGTACCTCATGATATAATTTTATATAAATGACATCAATTGTTAATCTATTAGTATTACAATGCTTTGCTGCAGGCTTCTCATCGTTCTTTTCATGAGTTAATTATGATCAAAAAATTATCCGTAAATATTAGTAGAAATAGTCGTTGATTTTTTTCTTGTCAGAAATTTTCAAAATTTCATGTAAATAGTTATTTCGCTTTGAGCATTAGTTTGATTTTATTTCTTCACTTGCAATTACATTTATAACATACATCTGCACAATTTCTCCAATTTAACGGTCTTGTTCATTACTGAACTTATATACACATCATCTGAAAGTTCCATGTACTGTTACAATATTTACCTTTATTTGTTCTTCGTTTTGTTTTAGGTGCGTACCTTAGAGAAAAGTTTTTCAAGATTTCTTTGTTTTTTTTTTTGATGCAGTTGTTAATGTTTTTCATAGTATCTATCTATATTAATTTGATTTTAAGCAGGAGTTTATTAATGAGTCTAATCTATTTCTTGAGTTTTTACCCAATGCTGAACTAAAGATATTAGTACTGTCAGTTGGTGTTTCATTATTTTCAAGGCTAAGGGCTCTCAAGAAATAAACTAGACTCATCAAAAAACTAAAATTGACACCGATGATCTTCTACTAGTTCTTCAAGATATTTTTATTTCAATTGATTGTGTTGTATTTTATTGGGAAAATTTTTGAGATGCGCAATTCACAATGTTGCTACTCTATTTCTGGCTAATAATAATGATTTATGAGGAGGAATAACCAGAAATTATCAAAGAAAAAAAAAACTTTAATCTGAATAGTTTATTATCATAATGACGAACTGATTTTAGGGGTTACTTCATGATAACCTTTGGAACTTTTTTCAAAGGGGGATTAAATGAACACTGTTGCATGAGCTGCAGAAAACACTGATGGTGATGTGATGGTGTTCACTGTATCTATTGGGTATTGCTATTCGGCTTGCGTGACCGTACTGTCCATCAGTAAAAAAAAGATTTGAAATGTGAATTTCATTCTCCTGTTTTTTTCTTGATTTTTTTCAATGTTGAAAACAAATTCAAGATTTGCAAGTGGTTGCATAAACTTGTTAACAACGTCGAGCCTTAACTGTTATTATGTTCCCAGGCTTCTTTTTTTCAGGATTCCTATAACTATCTTCCAATTAGTTTCCTCCATCTTTTCGCAAAAAGTTCAAACCAGAGAATAATAAACAGAATTTTTTTGAACAAAAATTGATATGACTATAGTTATGGCATTAGCATTCTTTTCTATAATTTAGAAATGATAATCAGAATATGATAGCAGTGTATTTGAATTTCTAATATGAAATATTAATGGTGGAGGGTTAGGGGTGTTCTTGTGAACTTCTCATCCATAATTTGAAAACTTTTGAAAAATGGACGACAATGGACAAAAAATTGTTATAGTATATGAGCATGAGGAAGGGAACTCAATAAATGTTAATTAAAAAGTAAAGAAAAGTGCAAAAAATTATATTGAATTAATTAAATATAATGGAATTGGCAAAAATATGAAAGCGTTAAAAGAAATTGCAAAAATTCCACTCATCTACTTGTAACATCAAAGCATTTTTTGATAAAAAAAAATCATTAATACTTCAGACAAATGATAATTGTGCTTAAAATATTTATTAATACTTTTATCAGTCATATTCATTATAATTCTTACAATTACATTATCAATAAATGATTAAAGTAGCTGTTGCGCTTTTGACAAATTTTCATATTTTCCCACGTGATATTTACGCGCACTCATATTTATGTCCCATATTATTATCGTACATTTCCTTTTTAGCAATGATACATATCTTTTCATTGATCAGTATTGTGACCTCCAGAAACAATGAAATTTCTTTCACACACGATCGAAATAATGATAACGTAATAAATAATAAATGCGATTATTCTCATCTATGAATGTATGTATATATTTAGCCACTTTACTCTCAAATAGGATTAGAATTACATTTAGCATGTTTTGCTTTAGAAAACTATTAACAATTTCATGAATTGCCAATATATTCATAAAAATGCTGTTTAAAGTCAATTTTCTAAATGGCATCATTTTTTCAAATTTCATTTTCAATTCAATCGAATTAAAAAAAATAAACGAGTATTTCGAAATCATTAGCACAGTGTCATTTTTTTTAGTATTCGTAGTCAGTATTGAGTGAGATAAAGATTGCATATATTTTTGATGAATGAGCAAAATGACCTTGAAGAAGTGGAAATTAGTATAAATTAGACATCAATATAATCTGCGTGAGTTATAAATGCACTCATTAAAACGATATTCAATTAGAAAACAACTGTAACTAATATTATTATTATTTTCGATAAGTAACTGAATTTCCGCTTATTGAATGGGCATAAAAATAAGAAGAAAGAAGCGAAAAAGTCGGAAAACTTTTCCGCAAAGTTGTTTTTTAAGCATTTAGTATTCATCTAATTGTGACCGAGGCGTAATTGTCTGTTTTCAAAAGTTGGAAGTTCGAGCTTTTCGGTCACCAATCAACTTTCAAGAAGTGTGTTATGATTATTGTGCAAATGATAAGCTGGAAAAAGGTGTAACTGTTTTCTTGAAAAATCATAATTATAATTTGCCAGAATCTCGAATTTTTTTCCACTATTCTCTCGCAGAATTTCAATTTTTTATTTAATTATACCAATTATAAGTTTATCTCTGCTTGAGAGAGAGAGAGAAAGAAGGAAAAGAAAGGGAATTGATGAATCTGGATGATAAAATAAAAATTCCTCATTATTTCTCAGATACAAAGAAATTTCAGATTTACAGCTCTTTAGAAATTTTTCGTTTAGCAAGTTCAATTTTAAATGTATTATAGATGTAATGTTATCTTAATCTACCATTTTAACCTCATAATAATGTTTTGACCTTATAAACCTTATAATCATAATATAAGGTATGACCAAAATTGAACAAAATATACATTTTAAAATCAAATGCTTGAAAAAAGTTAATTTAGCTTGGTAAAAATGGATTGTTTGAAATGTGCATTAAATTTATTAGAACAAGTAAGATCCTTTTCTCATTACATAATTATCAATGCATTTAAAGAATCATTCAAAAAAGCCTGCTTTTAAATTTATAATAATATCTGAAATCAAGATGAAAAAAAAGCTTGTAGCTCTTCCTTCTTAATTAAATAAGAATGATACACACTTTCTTATAAAGAATTTCGAGAACTTTGTAATCATGAAAAATGTTTCCGAGAATAGAACTATAATTAAGACAGGAAGAATTATTACATTTACATATTTCAAACTTTGGTTCCTTGTCTTCCTATCTTTTCGATATTTTTTCGAAGATTAAAGTGTCGAAGTACATACTTTTTGAAAAGATTTTTTTTACGTACAAAAGAAAGGAATTTCAAATGATGCAATCACAATGATCGCTTGTTTGCATTGATGTGCAATGATTGATCTCTTGGAGTGGTTCGATCAGGAAAGATACAAATCCATACTTTTGATTGAGATGGTCATATCTTACAACAATTGTTTTTCCTCGATCATAGCTCGTTCTTTCAGCAACAACTTGTATAAGATTTCCTAGAAACATACGTAAAAAATCGATTTAATTGGTTAGAACGATTTTCAATTATGTGCTGCAATTTGTTAGATATTGTTAAAAGCTAAAAAATGATTGAATAGTAAAATTTTTAGCTTAGAAAATGATAAACAATTTGGCGCTGATGGCATTGTAAATTGGCTTACCAAAGAAGAAACGAGTTGTTGAGCTGTTCGATCGGTTGATTATATCATCATATATATGCTCGATATCTGTTGCTCTTACACGATAAGAAGATCCGGTGTAACCCCACAATAACTATTATTATTGTTCTATTCTTATCAGATGTCTAATCAATCTTCATCCTATATTTCCTTATCACTACCGCTACTGCTACTGCTATTATCGGGGAATTATCAACAAGCAATTGTCAACAAGTGATCGTTTTAAAGGGAATGAAATAATGGAGAAAAAAGGACGGAGAATGCTGCCATACCTGATTAATGATCAGTGATTAGTGATTAGTAACAGAGGTGAAAGGGAAAGGTAACATTGTGAATGGTAACATTCTTTCCGCATCTTTACTCTGCATTCATTTCAAAAAAAACACTATCAGCGATCGATGTTGTTCTTGCTGTTGCTGTTGCTGCAGCTGCATGGTAGAGGTGCAATGCATGTGCTGCTATTATTAATGGATGACAAAAAAATCCGGTGGATATTCCTAATAGCGGGATTGTGACTTGAGAGGGATGAAAGAAAAGAATTGAAAATGAGAGAATGAATAGTGATGATTTACTGATAGCTCTTTTAACCTGTGTGAACGCCTAAGGGAATCTGTTTGTGCGACAAGGGGAGGAATATTTTACTGCTCAGTGGATGACCATCAGTATTGCGATCACGATCACGGTGGCCGAATATTGGTAGACATTGGGAGGTAAAGAATAGGAGGCTGGAAAGAGATTGGAAACGGAACATCGTCACACTACAAGAGAGTGGCACGAAAGCGAAAATAGTCAGTAAGTGCTCAGATGATGACCCAACAGGTTGCTTCGGCTATGGCTACTCTACCGATATCGTTACTGCTTCTCATACAAGCTATCGTCTACATCCAACGGGTCCATTCCATTCCTATACCTAATTCACAAATCGGTAACTCTTAACTATCGCTTTCATGATAACAACTTTTAATGCTTCATAATATCTGAATAGCTGGACATTTGTCTTCGATACATCAAAGAACTCAATTTTCTCTCTCATGCAAATATCTTTTCACAAGCATAATAACATGCTTTTCTTCACACTGATTGCGTTATCAGTGTTATCGTACCAAAAATTATGGACATAGTGACCCTTATCTAAAAGTTATGTTACTGTTCCGAGCCACATAAAAATGACTTCATTAGCTTGCTAAAATTTTTTGAAATTACCACATAGGCAATTTCAGTTATCACTTCGTCC